GCCCAGTGCTCCTCTAGTACTGAGTGCGGCCCCTGACCAGAGAGCAGGGCTGGATAGGAGTGAAGCCCCTGTGTACAGAGGCATCGAATTCACTGTTCCAAATCTTTAACAAACATAACAATTGCTGGGACGCCCCCCCCCCCCTGTATACTTGATGTCTTCCTAGCGTAGGGGATTAGCTTACCTAACTTCAGTACAGTCACCAAATTCGTCAGTTCACATCAATAAAACATACGCATCTAATCCAGGCCCCCCTCCAACGCCGCCAGTGGATCCGACCATGTCCTTCGTAGCATTCCTTCCCCTCCCCGCCAGGTCCAGGCAGGCGAGGGATGACATTGAGCTGCCTCCACCCTGCGGCTTTTCAGACGTCTCTTCCTGGCTGCACTGGTCCTGGGGCCGATGGCACCCTGGTCCTTCCCCGGCCACAGACCCCAAATGCCCACTGCCCAGAGGCGCCCTCCCCTGAGGACAGTGGCCGGGGCTCACGGAGTCTCCTGGAGAACCCAGCAGGTCGGGGCGACAGTGCGGCTCTGTGTGCGAGAGCTTCGCCTGTGACAATGAACTCATGTCCCCACAGGAAGCGGGTTTGGTGACGGTGAGGACCCTCATCACCCGCCTGAGCCAGGGGCTCCTCCAGCCGCAGGAGAGGATCCCACAGACTCTGGGAATAACGGGGGCGAAAGGGTGGGCACCTGCCTCCCCCGCTGACTCAGCCTGTGAGGAGGGTCCCTGATGGCTGTTTAGGGGTGTCCTCTGGGCAGGGGGTGCACCTGGCACTGAGTGGGCCCCCAGATAGGAGCCATCATGCAGAAGACGTTAGCAGTAGAGCTCATGGAGGGGACACTCGGGGGAAGGGGGGTGGGCACCGGCTCCACATGCCAGCAGCCTCGGCAGAGGAGACGGGAACAAGGTGAGCGTGCTTGGTGGCTGGCGGCCCCCTGACCAGGAAATGCTCTGGCCCGTCCCGCGGCCCAGCCAGCAGGGGGAGGGGTGGGGGCACGGAGCCCGGTGGGCAGAGCTGGAGACCAGTGGCCACATCACCAAGGACTACCTGCCCCCCCCTCCCCAGCCCTCGCCCTCACCTTGGGGCTGGGATGGATCTTCAATGGCCTCCAACCCTAATACCTGCGGAGAACCGTGGGCACCTGCTCCCCCTGCAGGCCCCTAGGCCCACCCCAACCCCACCCTACAGAGTTGACCCTGTGGGTCAGTCTGCATTTTTAAAAAAAATATTTTTTAATGATATTTTAAAGAGAGGAAGGGAGAGGGATAGATAGTTAGAAACATCGATGAGAGAGAAACACCGATCAGTGGCCTCCTGAACGCCCCCTACTGGGGATCAGGCCCACAACCAAGGTACATGCCCTTGACCAGAATCAAACCCGGGACCCTTCAGTCCACGGGCCGACGCTGTATCCACTGAGCCAACCTGGTTAGGGCTCAAATCTGCAGTTTTAACAGACCCCCACCCCCATGACCCACAATGCACCAGGGGATGCCTCGAACTCTCTCAAGAGGAGACACACGGCTGTCCCCGAGGGCAAGGTGGGGGCTGCTGGTATCAGGGAAGGTTCCCAGGTGGCCGTGCCCCAGCAGAGTCCTGGGCACCTAGACTCAGAGAGGGACTGAGGGAAAGGCTCGCCAGGCGGGGGGAGAGGCGTGCGCCTCGCCACAGCCGGGAAAGAATGTCCGGGCAGTCACATTCCGGCAGGAACGAGGGGCTGGGGCGGGGATGGAGGCCACGGGGCAGGCAGGAGACTCGGCGAGAGGCCAGGCTGGGGGTTAGAAGGGACTGCTGGTCACGCTCAGGTGTCTCTATCCCAACAGTGATGGGAAGGAGCCATCCCTCTGTGGGGCTGTCCGTTCCCGTGCTGGGGGGTTGCTGGGCGGAAGGGTGGGCCAGTCCGACGCCTGCACCTGGGAACCCGAACCAGAGTCCTGGAGGGTCTGCCCAGAGCCCAGAGACCGGGAGGAGCAGCTGAGCTGGGTCCAAAGGGAGGTACCAAAAATAGGCTCCAAACAGACGCCCCCATCTCCCATCCCCATCTCCCTCTCCCAGCTCCGTCTCCCTCTCCCCGGCTGGGGCCACCGCGGCTCCTGTGTTAGATGTCCACGGAAAGCCGTTTTCCTTAGGACGTCTCCACCAAAACCCCCCTTTTCCTGAAATAGCTTCCATCAGAGACTTTACAACCAGGCCGGGGGCGCCCTGAAGATGTGAGAGTCTGACTTCCTGAGCGCATGTGCCTACTGGACAGAAACCACGTTTTGTGGGGTTTGGGAAAGGAATTCAGTTGTGTGACCAGGACAGGGTCATGGCCCAGAAGCTTCCCGCCGGCCCCTTGGTCCCCTATCCGGTCCCCACTCGCTGAAGCCACGCGTCTGCTTTGTGTCCCCAGACTTTTGCCTTTTCAAGACCGTCACGTGCAATTTCACACCAACATTAGTAACGAAATACATGTGCAGCTCCATACACTTGATGGTTTGAATCCCCGGAAGTCCAGAGCTAATAGAATTCAAAATAAGAACAAATCGATGTGACGGGTAACACGCAGTAGGCGCTCCTGAAGATGTGGGTTGAAGAAAGAAAAGAGAGAAGCAAGACTTAGTCTCAGCACAGCATCCTCGCGCCTGGGGGGCTATGGATGTCAACACACCCAGTGTCCTTCCAGGTAAGGCATCGCCGCGAAGTTGATTTTAATGTGTTCAGCCCCGAGGCTGCTCCAGCTGGTCAGCAGGCGTTCTGTAAGAGGGCTGCCTGCCGGCCTGCGGGGCGAGGCAGAAGATCCAACAGCTAACCCAGGAGACGTGCTGGATGAGGGTCCCGCTGGCATGGCCACAGCGTGGGGAGCGTCCAGGTGGAGGTGAGCGAGCGAGTGTTGGCATCCGTTCTGGGCCCAGAGCTGCTGTCGGCACGTAGGAACGTTTCAGCGGCACAGAGGGCTGTCTCATGGTCCCCGCCTGTCTCCTTTATTCGGATGTAAGCCCGACCCAGGGTCACTGCTACTTAGAACTCAGCCGGTTAGAGACCGAGTGACTGCACAGTCTTCTCCCTCCTCCCCCTCTTCCTCCTCCTTCTTCCTTCCCTTCTTCTTCTTCCTCTTCCTCTTCTTCTTCTTCTTCTTTCTTCTTCTTTGTCTTCCTCTTCTTCTTTCCTTCTCCTTCTCCTCCT